ATCGATGGCACCATCTTATGTCCCCCTTCGAGTCAAACAACTTTTGTCTGAAACATTTTTGTCTACTGGGTTTAGTTTTCGAGATATTTGGCTGGATCATTTAAAATGGGACACCCTGTATATATATATTGCGAAAAATTAATTCTCCTAAGAATACCAGATCTCCGAATTAATTTTTAAACAGAGTTATATTTTTAAAAAACACACAATTCATTTACTTTCACCTAGGAGTCCAATTTTTGAGGCTTTTACGAACAAAATATTACATCGTATATTTTAACCCAGATAGTTTTTTTACTTACAAGAAATACAACTTCGTCACGTCCATCTGTTGGTAGGGTACGTACTACTCATGAGTGAGTAAGTTTTTTTATATAAGTAAAAAAACTATCTAGGTTAAAATATACGACGTAATATTTTGAGCGAGTTTAATAGTACATACAAAAAATGTTCTTATAATATTCTGAATATTTCATTATCATTTGAGCATTCTGTGAACATTCTTCTACTATACCAGAAAACTATATATGAATATACGGAACATTTAAAATACAAGTCGAGCATTTTATGAATATTTAGCGTTTATATAGCTGGGCGATAATAAAATAAAAAGAAATATATAAGCAAAACAATGATAAAAAATCATTCCATCTTTTAACAGATCCCAGAGTCAACATCGATCCTCTGTCTTGGAGGAAAGATATCGTTGCGGTGGGTGTTTTGGGAGCTGTTGGCGTTGCACTCGCATTGCTAACTGCAGCGATCGTATTGTGGGCGTCCAAGTCGAAGAAGCGTAAGCTTGAGAGACTGAAGCGACGTAACTCCATCAGGCAATCCCTACATTCCCTGCGATCGGTCGGCTCCACGTCCGGCTTCACGGAACTCGCTTATCGTCGAAAGCCTATCGCGGTAAATACCCAGCAAACCAATATGTAATTGTAATATAACTTACGAGGCGCATTTGGAGAACAATGTTATATTTTATGGGTATGTATACACGATATAAATATTACATAACTTTTAGAGTACTTTAGAACGACAAAGATATATTGCATTGTTATATATATAATTCACAACTGTTACGTAAAAACGTATTATTACATACACATATATTGAAATACATAACATAAATATAATAGATGTTATCTTTTAAATATATTTAACGGTGCGCGCTATGCCTTTAAGTAATTTAACATAAAATTTAGTTTTATTTATTTTATTACGTATACTCTATATATTTTTGCAGTGCGGTTTTTACGTATGAAAATATTTATAATAAATTATTCTACCTACTCATATTTCATTTCAAAATATTTAAGTATTATGATTGTAAATATAATAGTTACCAACAACAAATATTTATATTTTGAATTAAAATATAAGTAAATAGAATTTGTTTATTTTTAAACGAATATGTATATTGCATTATATAGACAACATATATATATTGGTGTTATATATCACAAGATATAGCAAAATATGTAACATATATATTGTTATATTACCGCAATATATCAGTGAAAGATAACTATACATAACATAGTACGTTCCAAAGTTGTTATGTATAGTTATATTTCACTGATATATTGCAGTAATGTATATGTTACATATTTTTCCAATATCTATATTATGTCTATATAATGCAATATATATATTCGTTTAAAAATAAACAAATTCTATTTACTTATATTTTATTTTAAAATATAAATATTTATTGTTGGTAGCTATTACCATATTGTTGGTACATTTATAACTATAATACTTTTATAATATTTTGAAATGAAATATGAGTAGGTAGAATAATTTATTATAAATATTTTTATTACGTAAAAATCGCACTGCAATAATATATAGAGTGTATGTATATACTCGTATATAAAATAAATAAAACTAAATTTTATGTTAAATTGCTTAAAGGTATAGCGCGCACTGTTGAATATATTAATAATTAAAAATAACTGTTATATTTATGTTATGTATTTCAATATATATATATGTGATAATACGTTTTTATGTAACAGTTGTGAATTATATATGTAACAAAGCTATATATCTTTGTTCTTCTAAAGTACTCTAAGAGTTATGTAATATTTATATCTCATACACACACCCATAAAATATAACATTGTTCTCCAAATGCGCCTCGCATGTAAATTATATTACAGTTACATATTGGTTTGCTGGGATATGATATTACATATACGTCTATGTTACATGTTTTGGTTTGTTGGGTATGGATTGTGATCAGCGTGATAGTTCACCCGAGCAAATAAATGCAAATGGTTTTTAAAATTAACGTGCATAATAGAGATGTATAAACTACATTAATTAAAAACTTTAAATGTGTAAATGGTCTAATCTAGCTTTAAAGAAATTAAGAAAATTAGTACTCTTAGTTTAAAAAAAATTTTATAATATTTTTAAGAACTTGTCACATTTTAATTAATGAATTTTCTGGAAAAAATACTTTAAACTTTTTCAGATTTTATAAAATTTCTTTAGAAATTATAAAGTGAGAAATCTTAGAAGATTTCAAAATTTACATATATGAAGAAATTTTTTAAACAATTGTACAGGAATTCTGAAAAATTTGAAATTTTCATAAAAGTTCTGAAAAATTATATGAAGAATTCTAAGAAAAATTTTTAAGCGGGACATCTCTAAATAATATTTAAATAATCTTTTTTCACATATTTCAGACCAAACATTCCACGGATACGCTGAACTCAAATTACAAGCGCATGCTGAACGGTGGCAGTCTAGACTCAATGGACAAGTCACAACTGAACTCCTCAATAGAGGATAATCAGAGTTATGATGTGTACGAAGCTCATAACCCGCGATATTCGCCGAGCACGAGCGATTTCAAGAATACGGTGCAGAAGTACGGTGCAGCACAAAGTGTCGATAATCCGGTCTTTGACCTGGCATACCGTAATGAGGGCTTCCGCAATCATTCTACTTTTGCGGTAAGGAACGGTACTACCGACGGCGCTGTCGCCGCCGCCGCTTCTAACTGGTCATCACCGCCAAACATACAGTCGACATCAGTTGATGAAAGTCCCACAGTGTATGCCAACAATGAGAGCTCGTCGTATCTCAACAATACATCTACGCTGCCGTTGCATTCCAGTATCGCGCTCACCGATTCCATGATCGAATTGAAACGCGATATTGAGACATCATCAGGCGTTTACGATCCTATGGATTACTTAAAGCCCCCTTACGACTCGACTACGTTAACTCCGAGTCAGGCATCCGAGCCCGTTCCGGAATACGCGTCGGACTTTCAACCACCGGTACCGCCACATCCCTATCATTATGAAGCCGAGAGCAGACCTAAGAGCGAGGCGCTGTTAGAGACCAACTTCGACACGGGTGAAGAGAAGCCGCTACGCTCGAAGAGCGAAGTCTTGCTCGAGACCAATCTGGACGCGTTCCTAGTCAATGAGCCCACGGAACTCACGCAGCTATCGGCAGCCACACGAAGCAAGAGTCAACCATTAGAAACGGCAATGTAGGTTTTTGAGACGTCGGCGACTCTTAGACCAGCATTCCAATTCGGGCATATCCGAAGTGTATGCCAAATGTCTTCTAGCGACAAGCACTGCCAGCTATTTCACAATAAAAGATTTTCAGTCGTTTATAACAATACGCTGCCGACTTCCAACTCGTGCCATTCCCAATGGTCGTGAACTGAATATTGGAATATACACGCATAGTAAATCCCTGTTGAAATGACCGGGAATGGAACGGATATTCATTGTTAGATACAGAAATTGATTAAGAGTTTTATTACATTATGAAAAACTCTGCAGTAAATTATAATTTGATATGTTAAAAAACATTACGATAATTATTTGTAACACGCATGTATGCTGGATTGATATAGAGCGTTTTCTAACAAGAGATACAGTTGACACTATAACACAATGAATGCATCTTTGCCAATGTTAAACAAGGATGAAATGATTCACTGTGTTACACTTTTGCTAGAAAATGTCCATAATCAGTAAACATGCGAGTTTTGCATGAATTCACCGAATCCGCGCTTGGGATGAATGCATACTCTCTAAATCTCGTAGAGTGGACTTATATATCATTAATATTAAAGTAATTAAAGTAATTGCAATAGTCACTACAAGAGAGAATTGTCACTTAATTTCAGTAAACGCAGGCACTCATAAGCTAGGAGTAAATTTTTCACTCAAATGTTTAGAATGGCTATACGTGGCGCGGCCTATGCGTGATTTTTATTTTAATAATTTATTTCACTATAAAGGTTATGCGTTTCGCGGGTTTCCTCCGTATCCAGATCTATTTTGGAGATGCCAACGTTTCGTAAACCTTGCAGTCCACTTCATCAGGGCGAGGGGCAAAAAAGGAACCTGGAGGAACAGGCTGCCCCTCACCCTGATGAAGTGGACTGCAAGGTTCACGAAACGTTGGCATCTCAAGAATGGATCTGGACACGGAGGAAAGCCGCGAAACGCATAATCTTTATACAGAAAACACCCGTGGAAGCCTCAAGAATGTTAATTTATTTCACTTTAATTTAGAGCAAAGAGCGTTTCGCAAAGCTCTCAACAGATGTAGATGTCTTCTCGTAAGAAAGATTTGACGCCACATCCGTATAGAAAGCGGGAATAATCAATTTTGTGCATTTCTCTGCACATTATGGCGACAATTTCTTTTTTTAGGGCGACTAAATCAATCGAACCTTGTAAGAACGTAAAGAAGGTGGGCGAATTAAAAACGACAAACATAAGAATAATATTTGTTGAACATTAATTTTTTTAAATGTATACATGCTGATCTATATACGTCATTCTTCTATATAGGAATTTACTCCAATTTATAGAATGCAATTTATCTATTAATTAGAGTAGCAAATCAGTCGATGTGCACGGACTCAATTTTCACTTCGTTACACATTACATTTCACTCATTTGGAGTGATATTTCGCTCTTCGAGTTTTACAGAGATACAATACTGTGTAAGATTTTCACGGAAATCGCCCGTCAAGATTTGGGCTTAACAGACAGTGTTCATATACGTACAATATATATTAAAAATTTAACGTTTTTACTTTAAATTTTTATATTAAGACAATAAAATTATAAATATGTATAGTTGAAATGGACTGCATTCTTTCTTCACACGATGTAGTAAAGATCTCAACATTCAATTCAGTCAATCGTTAATGACTTTCGGAAGTTGATACGTGTACTTGTTGCATGTCTTATGTAGGTGTTCTAAAGAGGATGACTGTTTGTTACAACAACGCGTGTTACTTAATCCCAATTACGTCCATAAATGATATCTATAATCTAATAAAACACTAATTTAATAGACTGTTAATAACGAGATCGTCATGGGTCAAGTAAGTGACCCAAGTGAATCTCCAGTCACCGGAGACAAAGCTTATTGATAATCTTTAAGAAAAATCAATTGTTAAAAACTTTTTGCGATACAACGAGCACATATAACGTTATGCGTATTGTCTGATGATAAATATTGTCAGAAGCGGAGCGGAAGGATACATATTAATATTTTAACGATATAAGTAAAGAAAATTAATTAATTCATTGTTGATCTTATTGCAACTAAGCTGCGAAAATAAAAGCAGACCTCATATTCGTAATTGTACAATCTCATTGCTCTTTGTTTGAGATGTATATCAGAGTAATCAAAGTTTCTCCTTATGTTAAAAGTATACAGAAAAAAATAAGTCTTCTTTTAATCCGGCATCTTGTGTTAATAAGAAGTAGGGGTTACCAAATCTGTTGCGGATGCACGGTGTTACATTGCCAAGCATATCCAACATCCGTACGTAACTCTCACGAGTATTAATAGAATAATAGATTAATTGCTTTAAGGGTATCTACGTTACAAAGTTTAGCTGTAAATAAATACATTCTATATATTTATCGAATACTCGCGCAGAGATAGGAATTTTACGATATGTTCGAGCATTTAAAAAAATTTGTATTCGCCATACAGGCGTTACATTCTTTTTCAGAGATAACTTTACGCACTATTTGATAGGCTTATACCGTTTTCATTAAGTAAGCGAGATCTCACCAATTTTGTTCTTACCGAAAGCATTTTTATATACCTGCCTTTAGCAAATTATCCGTCCATACACGTAGATTTAGCGTGATCGTGATCAATCGCTTTTTTACGAAGTGAACGATAAATAGGACCCTAAGCAAAACTTTCGCTACGTAAAAATCGCCTAGCGAATCCGCAGGATTCTTAATTGAAAGAAAAGAAATATATGTATATGTATGCATGTGATATGTACCTATTAACAGAACGCAAAGGCACTATTTGCGCAACGTCCGCAATGTATATTTCTAAATATTTGCAACATTTTATCAAAATTTTAATCAGAGGTTAATTGTCGTATCACGAGTTCTCTCATAGGTATCTGCGAATCTATCGAATGTATCTATCGAATAAAACTTGATGTTACAAGGCTGCCTTACTTGTACATGTTGCAGAAGTAAGATAAATAAATTAAGCAAATTCAAATGATCACGTAAAAATTACAATTTCCAATAATTTCATAAACTACATTCCCATTGCTATTCATTTTTTAGAAAACTGATCTACAATACATTGATTATGAAAGAAAAACGTATAATATGATATAATAATTATGGTGAATAATTTATAATCCTCTTCGAAAACTATGTAGTGTTTCTGAATAGAAGTATAAATATAATAATTATTATTAACATTATAACGGTATTAATTATAATAATGGAGTTCTTGACCATAATTATTTTACCATATAATTATAGTCAAACTTTTCTTTCAACGTAGGTGTAGTATTGTGATTTTTTGCTACAACTCTAACCTGTAACAGTCTTTTCGACAAAAAACGTTTTCTATGCTGTCTTAAACATGTTGTAATTTCCCAAATTTAAAATAAGCTGACCAGACCTCAACTATAGTAAAATTTAGATCTTGGAGCAAATTAACAACTCAGAGCAAAAAGCTTACTACACCTATTGTAGATCAATGTAAATTATAATAGAATTCAGAGCTTAGAACAAATTAACGTTATAATTCAAAGCTTAAAGCAAAAGACTTACTACATCTATTATAGATCAAGATAAACCTGTGATTTTTTCCGGAAAAAAGTGTTTTTAACATCGTAATTTCTGACAAGTCGTATATTCTAAGCTTCGAACGAATTGACTTAATCAAAATATTAGTATTAGTTATAAAGTTTAGAACTTATATTAACATCACAACTCAAAACTTAGAGTAAGACTCCATAATCAATTTTCCAAGAATATGTAGGAATATGTAGGATAAAAAAGAACAACGAGCACTTCAAAACAATATCGAATATATTAATATTAATATCGTCAAAAGATAACATAATTAAATATCAGGTTACTATTCGTCGCAGCCGTTTTTTTTTCTTGGACCGCTGAAACGAACATTGGCATAGGGAGATTCTTTCTACGTCTAACAATAATGAACGAAGAAATTCCACGGTGCCACACTCGATGTGGCTGCAATACGGTTTACGTCAGTTTACGTATCAGCGAAATGACTTCTACTCCGACTTCTGCGCCTTTGGAGACACGGGCGCACATTTCTTCCGCTCTGGTAGACATGTATAATAATCTTACAACATTAAAAGATATGTAATTTATAATTGTGCATTTGTGAACATATATACACTACTCAACAAAATCTAGGGAACACTTCCAAACACGCTAAAAATTGAGCAATATTCAGAACACCATAATTCAATGAAAATTCATCGCAGACAAAAAATTAAAAAAGGATTTTAAAGGTTGAAATCTC